AAACAATTTCAAATTTTGCAAAATAGAGGAATGATAATTATATTACGATGCAATAGAAGTACTCCCATATATTTAATGCTTAACGTATTGGAATGGATGTCTGTAGAATTACGTTTGAAATATTTAGCATTAGTTTTTATTTACAACATACTCAATCATCAATTACCTTCCTATTTCGAGCCGTTTATAAAATATGTTAGAGAAATGCACAGTTATGATACAAGAAATGTAAATTGCTTATACTTGAATCATGCAAAAAGAGCATCCGCGCAAAAAACTATTTTGTATAAGGGTTTCAAAGAATTTAACTCCTTGCCAAGTAATATTAAAAATTCTGTCCTTTAACTGTATTTAAACATAATCTTCGTGATTTTCTAAAATAAGTAAGATTAATATACAGCGTGGTAAAAAAGTTCTGCATAAAATTCATATTTTCGTTAAACAATTTTTTTTCGAAAAACGGTGAGACCCGTCGATTTTTATTTGATCCAGGGCACCTTGTTATGTGGAAAATTTTTTTTTTTTTCAATAATCCACTTACGGCAGCGATGACACAATTTTTTTTTTAAATGACAACGCATATTTTTTTCGTTCGAAATTGATGACAGTGATAATTATCTAAACAACGGTGTGAAAATTTCGATGTCTTACATAACAATTTTTTTTAGAAACATGCACCTTAAGTTCTTATAAGTGATAATTGTCTACTTACACTATTAATGGCTCCGAAAAGGACAAAGTTGGCAAAATAACATTTTACTAATAACTAGTGTTTTACTTGTTTGGCTCTCGAGTGGTATTTAAAATGTCTTCAGAACAATTATGCTTTTATATCTATCACTATTTGCATTAGCTACTAACACAAAATGCGAAAAAATAGTATAAACAAATCTCGTAAGAAAAACAGTGTTTTTCTAAACTTGTTGTGTAACAACTGCAGAAAAGTGTTAATTTCTCACGAATTTGTGAAAGTTTGGCTACGGCTTGTGCCACAATTGAAATAAGTGAAACATTGGCATATCTGCACAAGTTGCACTCTATACTTTTTCGACCGTCGTACTTTTTCATGTCTACTAATTTGAGCTGAGATACTTTCTTCAAGTCATCATTATCACTAATATTATCTTGTTCTATATTTTTTATTGCACTATTATGAATCTCAGAATAATTGCTGTTGATTCTGCGTGTATTAATGGGACGCAGACTGACATCTGCTTGAATTGTAAAAACATGCTTTGCTGTGTATTGCAGGTAATTACAACTAACGCTTTGTGCATGCATTTACAACAATTGATGTATAGAAGCGTGATGTCTCTTTGCGGCACGCTTATGTCACTTTTTTGTCGTGTTTTACGTTTTGTGAGAAATTATCTAGTTTGAGTACAGCAAAAGGTGCGTGAAAGTTTATTTTGTATAGTTGAAAATCTACCGGAAGAGTAGAACATGATGCATTGTAATAACCTCTCAAGATTTTAGAACTGGATATTTAAATATGACAGAAAATCACATATTTCGTATAAAAGTGTCAGGCGAAGTAACTCGTAGTATCGTAATAGCTAATTTGTCGAAATATAAAGTTATGAATTCACTTCCCTATATAACACAACTTTCACAGTTAACTATGCGGTTGGTGAATTATTTGCCAGAAATGAGGTATGTTTTGCTGGGACTGAAGTATAAAATAACAAATTGAGAAAGTTTCAGATATATGACCCTTTTACCGTTTTCACTGAAACGTGACATTATTATAAAAACCTGCAGCAAAACCTGGCAACTTTTAGCGACATTATTCCACAACGTAAATGAGATTTATCTCTGGAAAATATATTCTCAAACCTATGAAAATTAAAGGTCGTATTTTTGAGAGATGTAATATTTATGGAATGAAAGGAACAAATTCGTTTAAAATTCAGGTAATTATTTTATGGAAAAACGCTCGGAAACGTCGATTGGTATTTTTGTTACGGATTTTTTGACATAAGATCTTTCATCAGTTTGGTTTATTTTAATGATTGATTTTTTAATTTGAGTCACCTTGGTTTCCCACATGCCAATGGTCAGCCATGAAAAACGGACCACCCTGTATATAACTAAGAAGACTCAAAAGAGAAAAAGAAACAAGTGAAATTAAAACTGACTCATGGAAAATTCCTCGCAACAAATTATGAAGTTTTGTTAACATCATTTTTAAAAAACGTAAAGCCAAAACTGATGCGGAAACTAAATTTTATATATAACAATAAAGATTCTTCCCGGCGATGGGTATTTTAATTAAAATAGCTCGGTTATTAAAAATAAATATTTCTGTACAGACAAATTGTAAATAAACAAAAACATATAAAATTACAAAGCAACTCTTTCCAATAATGAAACTGAAATGTAACGTAAAAATAAAATAAAAAATAACTCGATATGTTTTTATCTTGTCCAATTTTATGTAAAAATACGGAGGGAAAGGTTACAAATGTGGTGAAAATTAAAAAAATTTGGTTTATTATAATAATGAAAAGGAAGTTAAGCTGGAGTTTCGCTACTGTTTATCTTACATTGAAGGCTTCTAGTCCAATCATTATAGCTTTTTTAGGAAAAAATACCGTTAGAAGTTTCTCTGTGGAATATTGTTCGGAAACGTATTATAAACAAAATTCAAAAAATCAACTCGAGACTAGTTTGGAAACATTATTTAAACAATGGTCAAAGTTATGAAAAACTGTTATTCATAGCGAAAAAAGGTTTATACAAAAAAGGTAGGTATTAAATAAACCTGTAAAATGAGACAAGTTCGATTAAATTCCGATAATTTGTTTATGCATTAATGAGATTTATACCAGAAAAGATTCTTTGGAAAATGACTGCTGAATCCAGGTAAAAAAGTAAAATCCAGGCTTTTTTGACCGTTTGACCTTCAAATGACCTTGAACTTGACGTGATGGAGCCTAACCGACCCGCTTGTCGTAATCAGCGACCCCAAAATCACTAGAATACCATCTTCGATTCCCGTGCACATGCCTAAATAAAATGTTGACATGTAAATGAATATATCGAGATGATTCTTTTTTTATTTTGGGGTAACGCGAAAATTCATGAGCATTGAAGCTATTGTATTAACGAAATTAACATTCTTTCGAATTTTACAGAGTATATTTACCTGGTATTTGTAAATGTTAACTAGGTCTTTTTATGTACTTCAGTGTTTATAGTAAATGAGGCGTCTGCTTATTGGCAGAGATGTAATTATTATATTGCCATAGTAAAAATAATACTAAAAAATAATCACGTAAGGTTTAATCAATGGAATGGATGAAAGGGGTAAATATTAAATTATACACATTATATACATTTTATATTTTATTACATATTAAATATTTAGTATGTATAAATTGCAAGTATCTGCGAAGAAAATTGCATTAATTATTATTAGCAAATGAAAAAACGGCCATTTTCGACCATTTTTAAGCTCTCAAGCTTAAACAAATTATCGGGACTTAATCGGACTTGTCTCAGTTTACAGGTTTATTTAATACCTACCTTTTTTGTATAAACCTTTTTTCGCTATGAATAAGTTTTTTACGCGAGTCAAGGAACCACTTTTCCATAACTTTGACCATTGTTTAAATAAAATTTTCCAACTAATCTTGAGATGATTTTTTGATATTTTGTTTATAATCCGAACAATATTTCGCAGAGAAACTTCTAATAGTATTTTTTTCCGAAACACGTTATTTCATGTCTACATGGTGTATGTTAATAACGTGCTAATATTTAAGGAGGTTATTCTTGGGTCCATTTTAAGAAAAATACTTCATATAAACATATGTCCTAAAAGTCTTAAGTTTTGAACTACAGAGTGCTAAAGTTTTATGAAAAAACATTTTTTTATGATAACTTTGGTATTACCCTAGATATTTTTTCAAATTTGGTACACGCCTTCTATTCATCGAGATGCATTTTCTGATGTACAAACAATTTTATTATTCTTGAAAGTGGCGTCTGTATAGGTTTAGTATTGAATATTTTTGAAGAAAAATATGTTACGCCACTGCTTTTTCTTAAAGTAAAAATCATTTTTGAAATCCTCATTCCTTTCTGAGCAAATGTGGTGTCTTGAATTTTTTTGTGTGACGTACGGTTTTCGCATAAAAAAATAAAATTCAATCATTTGCATCTTATTGGGCCACTTACGAGAAAAAAGACTTATGTAACTTTGAACAATAATTTATTTAAGATAATAACTTTTAAACGTTGAAATTATCAAATTACAGTAATCTACATACATTTTGAAATGGTTAAAGAAAATTACCCGGAACCCACAAAGAAATAAATTATATCAGAAGAAAAAGCAGTGGCTTAACATATTTTTCTTCAAAAATATTCAATACAAAACCTATACAGACGCCACTGGCAAAAATAATAAAATTGTTTGTGTATCAGAAAATGCATATCGATAAATAGAAGGCGTGTACTAAATTTGAAAAAATATCTAGGGTAATACCAAAGTTATCATAAAAAAATGTTTTCTCATAAAACTTTAGCACCCTGTAGTTCAAAAGTTAAGACTTGTAGGACATATGTTCATATGAAGTTGTTTTCTTAAAATGTACCCAAGATTAACCTCCTTAAATATTATCATGTCATTAAGAAACACCCTGTTTAATGACTTGACTATTCCTTGGAAATATATTTCTCGAGGGAAATCGAGGGAAATGAATGTGCTATACTTAAGAAAATAGACCTAAGGAATTCTTATGCATTTAATTTTAAAAACTGGCAGTACTCAAACTAAATTTGTGAAATTGACACATGTAGGAAAATTACTGCTTAACATCTCGGAAATGTTACAAGAAAAATTTGTAAACGACATACCAATTTATCCATTTTACGACAAATGGAAACTTTTCTTCATGTTACCCGTCAGTCATCTTTCATAACAAATCAAATAAATCGTAAACTCGCAGACTGTTCATTCTTTTCTCATGTCAAATAATTGTTCCAGGGTAGACATGTCTCAGGCTCACAGGAACGAAAGTTATTACCAGTGCTGCTCGGGATTCTGCATAGACTTGCTGCAGAAGTTTTCCGAAGAGCTGGGCTTCACATACGAGCTTGTCAAGGTCGAAGACGGCAAATGGGGAACGAACGAAAATGGGAAATGGAATGGTTTAATTGCAGATCTTGTCAATCGGAAAACGGACATGGTTTTGACGTCGCTCATGATCAACGCGGAACGGGAGGCTGTGGTGAGTTGATTGATATCCGACAAAACACTCCCATTCGATTATAAGTTAGTTTTTCATTTCTGACGCAATAAACACAGTTGTGTGGGATCAGCCGGAAAGATTTATCGGACCGTCACTCAATCCTGACAAACGTAACTATATTTGATAAAACCTAATAACTTGTTTCTCGATTGCTGTCGATACAGTGTCACGCAGAAGGTTTGCTACACAGGAATTTTTTCTCCAAAAGTATTTTCATTTTCAACAAGTTTATTAGTTTATTTATTATGAATAAATACTTTATGTATTAACATTAACCTATTCATGGACAGAGAAGCGCAAACGCATTTTTCCTATAATTTTTATTTTTTTTTGAAACGCGGGAATTTATCTTAGTAGTTCATACACTACATTAGCTAGTTTTATAAAAATACAAGGTGAGTTGAGATAATCGCACCAAACCCTACATGGGTTCTATAAGTCAAAATAATAAGAAAAAAACTCAAATGTTATGCGATTTTCATTTGTTTTCAAGCTATGACGTCCATTTCAATAAAATAATAATATCGCAGCCCCACAAAAAAAGTGGAATATCCGAAAGACAAGACCCTGGTATATATATATATATATATATATATGTTTTTGGGGTCACTGAATTTGAATGCGGTGTCCGTTTGATCTGATTAGCTCCGCATTAAGGTCAATTCAAGGTCAAATATAGAAAATCAATTGTCAACAAAGTAAACCAATATATCTATATGTTTTTGGGGTCGTTGAATCCGAATCCGGCGTCCGATTGACCCGATTAGCTCTGGAGTAAGGTCAGTTCAAGGTCAAATATAGAGAATCAATTGAGAACAAATGAAACCAATATATTGTAACGAATTCGCAATGTACACAAAGAATGACGAATGAAAAGTTACCTGACCGAACTTTGGATCATAAATAAAAATTAATTATTAATATAGCAAACAATAAAATAGTATAAAATTGTTAATATAAGATTCTGAATATAAAATAAGTAACAATTAAGGATATCACATAGTATAAAATTGGTAATTTTAATTTAATTCACAAATACAAAATATATATTTTTTTTAAATGCATGACATCGACACTTGTTAACACTCAGTACACTGAAAAAACAGAATTTAAACCTAGAGTGACGTATATCAAATAAAAGCCCAATATCCATAAATGAATCTGGTATGCATATTTTGGGAAGACGAGTAACTCTATAGAAGATATCTTAAATGAACTGAAGCCATATATGAAATTTTTTTATCAAATGTGAAATTAAATTATAATTTTCATCAAATGTCCAAACTAAAGTTGGCTTTACAAGTACCTGGAGATGACCTATAAAAAAAACATAAAATAAGGAATATTTTAATAATTAGTAATAGAATTGTATGTTAAAAATAAAAGGACATTTGTAACAAATGTATTAGTTATAAGAAGTGCAGTGAAAAGTGTTGTTAAAAAAAGGACATCCAAGGACTGGAAATTCTGTGAAGGGACCTTAAGAAAAATTAAGACCAAAAAAATCCAGAAAGAAGGAGAAACAACAGTTTATTGATTAGTTACGGCTTGGGTTTTGTAAAAACTAGTATAAAGCAGTTTCCAGATAGGTTTCCAGTGGCCCCATAAATGGTATAAAGGACATCTACATAGTTTCCAACAAGGAAAGATGCAAGTAGCAGATAAAAGGTACCTAAAATTGAAAAATAAAGTGCACTATAATAAAATTGATGGCTATAATCTAAAAATAATACATTACTAATACATTAAACCTTAGAAAAAGGATAAATAATAACAGGACTTACCTGAACGAAATTGAATACAAGCAATTTAATCATAATTTAAAAAAAAACTACAAAAATTTGATGAGCTCAAACAAAGTTATAAAAGGGACAGCCATTTTAATTTTAAGATGAATTTCAATTTGTAAATAATAAGAAAGTATGCATTTTACGATAGGCAAAACACAATACACGGACAAGTGATTAAAATAGAATAAATAACACTAATTACAAATATAGTAAAATTTTTAAATGAAAAGCACAGTCCTTGTATTGTATAAAACTGTAGTAGAATAGAAAAGGTATAAAGATAAATAAAATATTCTTTATTATTGTTAAAACAAAAAAAAATATCTAGAGAAGCCATTCACAATTTTAAGTCAACAAGTTGAAGTTTTGTTTTTTGAGAAATCCAACTAAAAATTTAAATAAATATTGTATTAAAAATTAAAAGTTAAAACTCTATTTATTCTGGCGTGCTGCATTGAACTAGTTTATGTATGAAAGATATAGAACCGACTCCTGAGATCTCAAATAAAACAAATATCTGAGTGACAGCTAGCAAGGGATAAAGAAAAGGTACAAGGTAAAACAAAAGAAAGGTTTGTATTGAACAATCTACAGTTAACCAAAACAAAAATTAAAAAAAATAACAAAGAAAAATTTTACTACAGAAACAAAACCAAAATAACGCAACACACAATACATGACACAAAATTGGCAAAATTAATATTTTCATAACAAATAACTAGACTAAAATCAAAATAATAATAATTTCTTAACAATATCTATACGTTTTTGGGGTCGCCGATTAGCTCTGGTTGAAGGTCAGTTCAAGGGCAAATATATAGAATCAATTGCCAACAAAGTAAACTCATATATCTGTATGTTTTTGGGGTTGCTGAATCCGAATCTGGTGTCCGTTTGATAAAATCAAATCTAGTTTAAAGTCAGTTCAAGGTCAAATGTAAAATAATATGTCTATACGTTTTGAAGCCGAATACCTACATTTTTTTATGAAATTCTAAGAAACCGTTTTGTATTCATGATTACAGTTGTAACAGTTTTTACATAAAACGAAGGACCACGATAATGTAATAATTTTCTACAAGGCGTTTTTTCCGTGTTCGCCGCATTTCCTTTCCTTCCCAATTGTTTCCCTGGGGTGTCATTACGTCGTAATTTTCCCTGGCGTGTCACTGCTCAGGCAATAAATTTCATCAGCTTCTGATAAAAATCTTTTACTTAATTTCGGGTGATAAGACGAAATTTAATTACTCGCTCTTTTAATTTACTCTCCTCTTAGAAGGGCCTTTAATTGAATCGCATCTGACATTTCTGAAGTGGATACACCGTACGCATTATTAATATACAGGGTCGTTAAAATTAGTGAACATTATTGGCAACCTTCACAGTTATTGAAAATAGATAAATACATTTATTTATTTATTTTCATGATATTTCTAGAATACATAAGTATATTGTATTCTTTCTTGTATGTCCTTAGAAGCTTAAGCTTGTTCCACACTGTTCTTATAACGTTTGAAAATTTCGAGAAATAACGAAACATACAACGCGATGTTAAAGTTTGGAACAAAATTCATAACTTTTATACTGAGGGATTTTTAAAAAAAACGCCGAGACAGGTCGATTTTATTCTCCCGAGGGGCATCTTGATTGACCGTTTCCGAGATATTTTGATTTTTAGGCAAAAATTGACAGATGCAGACTGTCAGCAAAATTTAGTTTTCTCGGAAAAACGGGTTTATTTTTTTGTGCAAATTTTCCAGTTTTTATACAGGGTGGTAAAAAAATGATCGAATATGAAGTTTAGGAAATGTGGAAAACTCGAAATTTTAAATGGAAACCCCTATTTTTTTAACGTATTGGTATTCTGCACTAAAATTGAGAGTAATTTTGCTAAAATTTCCCTATACCTAAAGCCAGTCGTTTTCATTTTATTTACCAATAAGCATTTCCTAAAAAGGTGTTTCCATTTGTTTCGCAGATTTTAGGTTGGCCGTGCCACTTGTCTCGAAAACACATCATAAATGTATGTGGGTTCGAGTCACTCCAATAATGGGAATTACTTATATCGAACAATCCATTTTTGCTAAATTTCGCCTCGTCAGTCCAAATAATATTATATAAAAATGATTTATTTTCTTGGAACCGTACCAAAATAATTCTACAAAAGCAAATTCTTTTTATAGTGTGTAGATATATAGATATATTTTAATAACTGAACTACAGAATACAAATATGGCTTAAATTTGTGTTTTAAAAGTATTCTCTGTATTTAACTCTTATTTATACCCGACTCCAATTCAACCTGTCTTAAAGACATTGTGGGATTTGCAGAAAAATAGCTATTTCTGTTTTCATCGTTAACAATTGGTTCATTTTTGTGACATTTTACCTTAACGGAAACGAAATTTTTGAAATTCTCTATCTTTTTCACAGTTTTTTGATATGCTTTCCGTTTTTCTTGATATCTAGCAGCAAACATGTCACAAGTTCTTGAAATAACTCTATCATATTATCCATAAATAATGAACAAATTTAAATAATCCTCATGAGTATAGTTTAATCTCTCTGGAATTTTTAAAGGTGAAAGCTATTAGCACAATTAAAAACCTATGATAGTTGTCATGTAACTAACCTGTCATGGCCAACCTAAAATGTGCGAAGCAAATGAAAACCATTTTAGGAAAAGGGAAATGTTTATTCGTAAAAATGAAAACGACTGTGTTTAGGTATAGGGAAACTTTAACAAAGTTACACTCAATTTTAGTTCAGAATGCGAATACGTTAAAAAAAATGGAGGTTTCCATTTAAAAATTTCGAGGTTTCCACGTTTTCTGAACTTCATATTCGATCATTTTTTTGACCACCCTGTATGAAAACTGGAAAATTTTCGTCTCAAATCCGATAAATTTCGTCTTCCCCTACAAAATATCCAATTCGCACAAAAAAAACCTGCGTTTCCGGGAAAACAACATTTTGCTGACGGTCTGTATCTGTCAATTTTTGCCTAAAAATCAAAATGTCTCGGAAACGATCAATCCTAAGTATGGAGTGTGCTAGATGTTTCAACTTAAAAATAAATGCTATTTCCAAAAATGCAATAATATACAGAGGGTTCCATTTAAAATAAAAAAATTGGTATCGACCGTGGTGGGACACCCTGTATTAATTGTTCCAAATAATGGAGAGACT